AAAAATAAAGATTTTTAATTTTAAGTAAACTATTTCATCATATATATATACACACACATATACATATACACACACATACATATACACACATACATACATATGCATATAGAACTTTTAATTTTTAAGTAAACTCTACACCCAATGTGGGGCTGGAACTTATGACCCTGAGATCAAGAGTCACGTGTTCCACCTACTGAGTCAGTCAGATGCCCCTCATCTTATATTTTTGAAGATCTGATCTTAATCTAGTTTTACTAATTCTGGCTTCTGGCCAAATGTAATCCAATTCTGACCTTAGAACTAAAGTACGGAACACATACATACAGTATCTATTTTCTCAAGTGCTTATTATGAATTCAGTATTACACATAAAACTGATAAAAAACTAAAACAACAAAAAAAACCTGACTCCTTACAATAATGATTTTATTAAAGTTAGCTACCACACATACAACAATCACATACTGTTACACTGTTTGATAAGAAAGTCCTAGCTTCGGGCGCCTGGGTGGCTCAGTTGGTTAAGCAACTGCCTTCAGCTCAGGTCGTGATCCTGGAGTCCCAGGATCGAGTCCCACATCGGGCTCTCCCACTTAGTGGGGAGTCTGCTTCTCCCTCTGACCCTCTCCCCTCTCATGCTCTCTCAAATAAATAAATAAAATCTTTAAAAAAAAAGAAAGTCCTAGCTTCATGGTACAGATAAAAGGGCATTAGTGACCAATACTTAGGGAAGAATTTAGATACTCTCCAGGCAAGAACACCATTACAAACAAGAACAAAGAGACAGGATAAAGACAAAATGTTCACTGGAGCAGTCTAAGAGTAGAAAGTAAGGTTAAGTGAGACCAAGTGCATAGGAGTATGGCTCACCTAGAGCCTAATTCAGAGGCCCCTTTCACACACCGAAATTAACTTTGACCACCCTAAGTTCTTTTTCTTAAGATATATTTATTTATTTGACAGAGAGAGACAGAGGAGAGCGCACCAGCAGGGGGAGTGGCAGGCAGCGGGAGAAGCAGGATTTGATCCTAAGACCCTGGGACCATGATCTGAGCCGAAGGCAGCGGCTTAACAGACTAAGCCACCCAGGTGCGCCCCCTCCCATTTTTAAGATTTTATTTACTTGAGACAGAGAGAGAGAGAGAGAGAGAGAGCACAAGCTGGGAGGGGCAGAGGGAGAAGCAGACTCCTAACTGAGTAAGGAGCCCAATGCGGGGCTCAATCTCAGGACCTCAGAATCATGACCTGAGCCAAAGGCAGACCCTTAACTAACTGAGCTACCCACCCGTAAGTGCCCCCACCCTTTAGTTCTTAACACTTAACAATCTTCTGTTAGGTGAATCTAAATGGGCCTTTCCTTGCTATAAAACTGTAAGCTCTTTTTTAAAGATTTTATTTATTTATTTGACTGAGAGCGAGCGAGAGAAGGAACACAAGCAGGGGGAGTGGGAGAGGGAGAAGAAGGCTTCCTGCAGAGCAGGGAGCCCGACGCGGGGCTTGATCCCAGGACCCTGGGTTCATGACCTGAGTCGAAGGCAGACACTTAATGACTGAGCTACCCAGGCGCCCCCCAAAACTAGGTTCTTTTAGACTTTATCACCTCTTGACTGCTATGCATCTAGTAGGAGAGAAATTGTTTGTTATGAGTTAATTATTCTCTGGGAATAAATCTTCATGGGAATAAATCTAAAAAGACGAAAAGGGGGGAAAAGCCCTAAACATCCCTGTAAATAGCATCTTGGGAGTTTATT